ATCTACCCAATCAATCAATCAATCAATGATGGCCTGCCTTGCAACAGCCAGTTCGAATCAACTGCTTTTGACGACCTGCGTTTGTCTTTTGCTGGTATGACACGAGAGGAGCATAATATTTTTTTGACGCATTTTTACGTAATTCAATGATTTACTGTTGTAACATAAAAATAGTCATAACTTCACATAGAAGAGAGGTATTTCACTAAAATAAAAAGCAAACTGTCCACAAATGGCACCTCTATGCTGTGGTATCAGCATTATGTGCTTCTATGCATTGTCATCATGGAAAATGTGTTCCCAAAGTAAGCAAAACTTTAAAACCTGTTTTCTCAAAATTTGACACTCGAACTCCTGTTCGCTTTAAAATGCCATAACTTTTCACAGAATGCTCCAATTGCTTTCAAATAAAGTGCAAAATGCTCGGAAAAGATGTGTCTTTTAAAATATATGCAAAAAAGGTCATTTTGAAATTTTGCACCTACCTAGTGAAGGGTTTTCTAAGAGCCACACACGACTTCTGGCGCTCATATGACCTTATGCAGTTGCGAGCGCTGTAAAACCTCTATTCCAAAACTAAGCCCCCCACACAGCTGAGCTTGTTTACCCACGGCTGCAGTCTCATGTCTTACTGTTAATGGACTCATGGTCTAGGTTTGGGGAAATTGTACTAACATAATATATATTATATATATACACCTTGGTGTTGATTTTATAAGAACATCTTGAAATAGACATATGGATTCAACTTTTGATTGAGGGAATTATTTTTAGGATCAAACGACTAAGATAAAATAGGGATGGGAGCATGGACAAAGTAAAGGCTATGGTGTGACAGCGGTGCTATCGGCTGACCATCGGAAAGACACATTTATCCGACATCGTTCTAATGTTGGGTGATCATCGGTTTCCGATGGTGTGTGGGAACCCGACATCGTCCTGATGGTGGGTTGTCGTCGGTTTCCGATGATGTGTCGATATCCATCATCGCACCGATGGTGGGTTGTCATCGGAAACCGATGGTAAGTCGATATCCATCATCGCACCGATGGTGGGTTGTCATCGGAAACCGATGGTAAGTCGGTATCCATCATCGTGCCGATGGTGGGTTGTCATCGGAAACCGATGGTAAGTCGGTATCCATCATCGCACCGATGGTGGGTTGTCATCGGAAACTATTATGACAAACTTCAGTTTTGACCTAAAAATTAATATTTTGACCTGTCCTTTACTTAAAAATTTTATATTAAATGAAAGTTTCCTCATAATATGTATCTGTGTACATGTTTATCAACTCTGGAAAGCCCTCAGAGTACAGTATGTAATTCGTTCATAACAATTACTACAAAAGAAGAATACTGATGAAAATACATACCCATACACTTATGATAAAAATCAAAATATCAGAATGTAAGCAAGGTCTAATAACATCCTCAGGTTGGGTTAAAATTAAAAATACATCCCAAAACAACTGTAAATTACATGGAATAAGGTTTCGTTCATAACCATTATGACACAATGTCGCGTTCATAACATGATGACAATCCATTATGACAAGCATACTTTTGCCTCTTCTTCGCTTCTCTTTTGAGTCATCAGCACGCTACTCTTCCATGTTCATTCCACCATGTAAAAGGATGTTGTGAAACAGTGGGAAGTCCCTCACATGATATTTTGCAGAAATATCATAAAGTGTTTGTTCATAACATCATTATGACAAACCTGGATTATCTCAATCAAAGTCATATTTAAGCAAAACCATGCGATGGAGCGGAAAATTACCCTTCTGATGGATCAATGTCAAACCAATGTTTAATACCGGTCATTCCCCGGGATGATATGTTTAACGATTAGGGATTAGACCTTGGAAAGTCTGATGATGTAATTATGACACGAGTTATGAACAAACTTATAAATTTTACTCAGCAATAACATCATTAATATAAAAACATAAAACCCTTTTAATGGACACACGCTGCTATGATGGTGTATAAAAACTATTTTCAATGTTTGAATGCTCTACTGTTTGATAGTTTAAGATTAACAATATTCTGTATTTAACATACAATTACGTGAGCACTCAGGATGAGTAAAAAATGCCCTATTTTTTGTACTATTATCTTTCTATGAAGAAATATAAGATGCACACATCAATGTACTTGCTCATGCAGCTTGACCAACTTATTTCCTTGCCATATGCATAAAGTTTTCAGAAGAAAACATATTTTACCACGAGTAGTGGTTGATTAAAAAAGTCCTCATGCAAACACCCCCACCTTTTGGCAAAAGCTCATATCTATTCTGAATACATACTCTTTAATTATTTGACTTGAAAAGAACCAAGAAAAGAGAGATGCTGCACTATCGCAGTGATGATCTGTCACAAACTTGTCGTCACATGAAAGTGAATTTCTTAAACTGAGTAGGCCCATATAAAAATACAGCGATGCAAAACGAAAACAAGAGGTGACAGAATGATGGACAAAAATTCTGGCTTCTTGTTGCAACCTGTCAACTGTAAAGGGATCACGGAGCAAATTATTCTCAATTGGTGATCATTAATCACTGGTTTGTTTGAACTAATAGTGGTCATTTAAATACAGTGGTGTACAACACTATAAATTTCATTATGCAAGCTGCACACCTTTAAATCGCTCTCTTTTAATTTCTGTATCTACAGACGAGGATGATGCCTTAGGGGTGACCTTCATAGAGAACGTGACAGTGACAGCCTTTGTGGTGCCAGAAGGTAAGTGTGTGGAGCAGACAGTTTTGCGAAGTTGAAGGGCCTGAAGTGCTTCTGCAAGCTCAATGATGGCCTGCCTTGCAACAGCCAGTTCGAATCAACTGCTTTTGACGACCTGCGTTTGTCTTTTGCTGGTATGACACGAGAGGAGCATAATATTTTTTTGACGCATTTTTACGTAATTCAATGATTTACTGTTGTAACATAAAAATAGTCATAACTTCACATAGAAGAGAGGTATTTCACTAAAATAAAAAGCAAACTGTCCACAAATGGCACCTCTATGCTGTGGTATCAGCATTATGTGCTTCTATGCATTGTCATCATGGAAAATGTGTTCCCAAAGTAAGCAAAACTTTAAAACCTGTTTTCTCAAAATTTGACACTCGAACTCCTGTTCGCTTTAAAATGCCATAACTTTTCACAGAATGCTCCAATTGCTTTCAAATAAAGTGCAAAATGCTCTTAAAAGATGTGTCTTTTAAAATATGCAAAAAAGGTCATATTGAAATTTTGCACCTTGTGAAGGGTTTTCTCAGAGTCACACACATATATTTTTATAATCTTGTTTGTTGACATTACAGAGCTGAAAATTTTGAAAATAGCGTTTTTTCCTTTTAAAAATAACGTGTTTGTGTATTCCAGCCTCCAAAAAGCATGGGGATTTTCTTTAAAAAAAAAAAAAAAGGATTCACGGTGATGAGCTTTGTTTTTAGCCACAACAAATTTGATCTAACGTGTACTTAACAGGCAGACACCGAGAGGGAGTGGCTTTAGTCACATTTATCTCGTGTCTAGAGTTTTTGCAATTGTCAAATCAATGGCATTGCAACTACTAGCATCTGTAAAGTAGAAATTAAGCGCCTTGTCGACGCATGCTGAAGAACTGAGTTCAATTCCCATATTATTCTTTCAGTTATAAGCAAAATGTGAATTATACTAGCTTCATTTCAAGCTATCAGGTTCTACTTTCGGATGCTAACTCTATAAAATAATGTAGTGTGATATCTTCTGTTCTTTTTGTTTTGTTTCTCTGCAACCTTTACTTTTGCTGCATAGCAAACGTGGGGTGGTGGGTGGGTTCTTTGATGAAAAACGGGAGTTTATTTCCAACAGGATGGAGATTTTCTGCTGAGTACCCCCGTGTCCCTACCGCGGCGTACCCTACATACTCATGATTGGCCATAACAGACATTGTGGAAACGGCGCACTTCCAAAGAGATTCAGACTGTGTCGAGAAAGGCGCAAAACACTTTCAACGAAAACTTTCACAGGTTGAGAATGTATGTGTCAAAAATACCACTTTCCATTTTCTGATGAAAAAGTGTGTCAACACCGGATGACCACTTTTCGAATATAAACCATGAGCAGTTTCAGTTCGCCACAAGAGCAGATCTCTGACGCTGCACCAAAAAGTCCTCACGCAAGACAAGATGAACGCCGCTGTAGTCCTCGTCCTCTTCTCCGTCTTGGCTGCGGCACAAGCAAGCCGTGAGTAGTTTTGGGAAAACTAGAACTTTTACGTGCAGTAAGTTCTTTTAGTGTTGATTAATCGAGTAGGTGTTTTACGGCACTATCTACTCAATTTTGTCATGTAGATGCCAAGAACAGACATTTATAGAATCTTTCAAAATATGGTAAAAACTATTTGTGAGGCAGCGTGGTGGAATCAGGCTCTCGTCAAAATAATCAAAGTTTTGCTTTTTGGCTCAACACCTTTCATGTCCATTAAAGAACTCATATCAGTGTGGATTTTTTCGGAACAATGTCTATTAAAGGCTCAAATGTAAATTTTCAGTTACCACGGACTCTTAAGCTCAGGAAATAACTAAACTTTGGTGGCCATTTCTCACTAACTTTACCTCTGAAAATGGGTGACCCCCATCTCCTTCATTCCCAAATATCTCGACTTTCATTCAAGATATTTTTTTCATCCAAATAAAGACAAGTGAATAAGCTTTAAGATGATACCAATAACTCTACATGCCCAAAAATTTGCATGCGTATTTACAATTTCAACTTCAGTGTATACGTTGCATACACCGACTTTATTGTTGAGCTGCCAATATCTGCTATTTAGAACAAGGTGGCAGGAAACTCGTCAATGTTTAGCAAAGGAAATCCGTCAAGTGCTAGGTCCACTATTATTCAGTAACTTCTGCACTGCCCCGAAGACACAGTTAGCATAACGCACTGAGAAAATGCTATATTATACCATGGATGGATGGCTCTGACTTGGCACCAATGTTCCAGCTATAAATGCGGCTACAATCGCCATGGACAAGTCTACTGGCGATGTGTACGGAGCAAGGTAAATAACGATCGCCCACTCAAGAGTGGGGTTGGGGGGGGGGGGGGGGGTGCAGCAAAAGTATAAAGTGCCCAATGTTTGTTCCTTCACGAAAAAGCTATTTGCTTTTCTTTCTCAGGGTCACATGAATAACTCCGATTGAGAAAATATACTTGGCGTCAAAAGAAACCAGACACTTTCAACATATGTTTGTAAGTGCTGTATGTAGCTGATCCAAGGTGACCGGCTGAGGTCTAAGGCGTCGGCGCACTTATGGTTCTCCGTCCCTTCCACTCCCTGGCTGTCTTGGTGGCAGGCCGGAAGCGATCTCGTAGGTGCAAGACCCGAATGTACCGGTCATGGGCTGGTGTTGTAGCTCTAGGACGACCCGTCCGGGGACCATCCTGCAAGGATCCAGACGTCTGCAAACGATTCATTAGTCGATATATCGTGTCTCTTGTCACATTGAAGGTCCTTGCAACATTCGCTACTGGGGTATTGGCCCTCAGCATACCAACTGCCTGATTGCGCTCTTCGTTCGTTAAACGCGGCATGCTGTATCTTTAGATTTAGATGTTTTGAAATGAAACTTTTAACGTTTTATTCTTGGCTACAGATAAAAGATGTGTTAAACCCCTAAAATAAAATTAAAAAACCAAAAACGTTCGAGAAAAATGACAAAACACGGTTTTTAACAAAACAAGACCTGAGCTTTATTAACTGGGCACCTGATCATAAATGCAGGCTGATCAGGAGCGTCAAGTGTTCACAATCACGTGTGGAAAATTTCAGCTCAATGGGTTTTCAACTTTTCATGAAACACGCAATTGAAATGTGTCTGGTTTTTATTGACGCTAAGTGTATTATCTTTGATGCTTCAGAAATGTATCGAGTTTTATTATTGCTTTCTTTCTTTGCCATATTTCTAACTCGCCAGCGGACCAGGCTGTGTGCGGTGTAATCAGGGTGGAAAGTTGGAGCTACAAGTACGCCGAGAGGAGAGTGCAAGATGCTTCGTATGTCCTCAACATGACGGTCGTAGATCGGCAGTCCGCGGCTGCATGTACCCTGGGTGAATGTTTCGGCTACCAGAAAGCCACCCTGTGGGTGGATCATGGCTGTCGTGCTGACTTCAACGTTTGCTACCTCCTAGGTTAGTTTTCCGCACTTGCAACACGACGTCGCACGTCTCAAAGATTAAGTGTTACGATTACGAGAGTAACAACCACTAAAAAGACAAAGCTGGTATAAAGACATGTTTGTTAGTATAGGAGTAGGAGCCAGTCCCACCAGAGCCCCTACCAACTACTCACATCTTCCAGGTAAGATCATTGATTTATATCTAAAATCAAAATGTAATGTACCGACTATTAAAATGTTATTGTTCCTTCAAATGCTCATTTTCACTTTCACAGCGTTTTCTACATGCTTCCTGGGTGAGAGAACCTTGACTGAACCGTATCTCTTTATGAAATGTTTACATCTTTTCAGAAAATGCCCGTTTTGGAGGGTTATTTTTCTATTTATCGCCTCGCTCTTTTACTCCTTAGTGAGGCCGACCGAGTGCCAAGTACTCAGGGTAGAAAGTTGGAAGTACAAGTACGCGAGAAGAAGGTGGCGGGGGCCGCATGGTTCCTTAACATGACTGTTGAAGATCGGCAGTCGGCCGCCAGTTGCGATCTGGATAAATCCTTCGGCTTCTACAATGAGAACTCCACAGTGTGGGTGGATCATGGTTGCCGTGCCGACTTCAATATCTGTTATACAAAGGTAAGTGACACCAGCTAAGCAAACGCATTTTCTTCGAGACATAAGGAAACCTGCAAAAAGCAGGAAAGTACTGTTTGAACATTTAAAGACTTTGCTACCAACTGGGTATTCTGAAGTGAAGATTTCACAAAATG